ACATGACTAAAACATGAAAATCCAAAACAAAGACATGACTAAATAGCTCTGTCACATGTAACAATACCATAATGAAAAGCATAAAAATCAGAGACCAATACATGACTAAATAGGTATGTCACATATAGCTCTGTTATGTCCCGACTCGCCACATCGATTGCACTTGCGCATCTTCTTCCCTTGAGTTCCTTGCGATGAAAGGAGCTTGTCTCCAATTGTCTCATATCTGCGTTGTCTTCTTCTTCTTTCTCTTCTTCTTGAATCAGGAGGTAACACATTAGAATTCTGAACATTATCTGGTACAACCCAGCCATCCTCAGGAACACTTATTGGATTGACAGTTTCTTGATAAACTGTTCTCCAAGTAGAAGTCGTGTACATGTCATCAGGTAGTGAGGATGAGGCTCGACCAACTGTTAAACCAGCCTTGATTGCGTGTCTACATGGGATTTTCAGTAGGTCGTATTTCCCACATGTGCAGGTTCTTCTGTCCAAATCAACCAGGCAGTCGATTGTATCTCCACGGACCAAAAAACGATGCTCATTAACCGGCTGGACAAGAAATGCTTTACCCTTGGTAATCCGTCTATCTATCTTTTTCTCGATGGCAATAGTTAATGGTTTAGAGTGCTTCCTTCTTTTTGTGAGGCGTTCGAAGAACCAACAAGTAAGCATCTCTCTGATGCTATCCAACAAAGGAATGACTGGATACTCTCTTGCTGAGCGCAAAGCAGAGTTTATTGATTCAGCCGGGTTTGTGGTCCTGATGTTCTACTTGTAGCCTGAAAATTGGCAACGAGCCCACTTTAGTTTCCAATGGCTGGACTAATATTGCACACGGCTTGAAAATACATCTGAAAGTCGACAACTCTATAAGCTTTAGAAGCTTTTTCAATCAATCCAACCACTACCTTTCCTCTGTAATCTGTGACCACATTATTCAACAAATGGTGAATGCAAATTCTGTGTTGAGAAAGAGGATACACATTCTCAAGCCCCTTACAAAATGAGCTATTTCTGTCGGACACAAAAGCAAGAGAAAGCTTGTCTACAACAACAACCTTTAGTTGTCTGAAAAACCAATCCCATGAACGATCATTTTCTGAGTCCACAACTGCAAAAGCTATAGGGTACAAGTTGGAGTTTCCATCTAAAGATGTTGCCACAAGTAACACCCCTTTGTATTTTCTCTTCAAAAAGGTCCCATCAACAACAACAACTTTCCGCATGGCTGTGTGAAAACCTCGTACTGATTGTCCAAAAGAAACGAACAGAAATCTGAATTTACCATCAACATCGGTTTCATAGAAGGTGTGTGTTCTTGGATTAGCTTCTTTTAGCATGTGCAAGTATCTCGAATTTTTTCCAAAACTCTGCTCCGGAATACCTCTAACCATATTAATAGCATACTCAAGAGCATCCCATGCTAATGATTTAGATATCTCGCATCCATGATCCATTCTCATAATCTGTATAATATCATTAGTTTTGGGATCTTCTTTGACACCATTATACCTACGCATTATGAGACTACCAATAGTTTTTGCAGAAGCTGTCCGACCACCATTACTCATACTTGACGCAGCACATGTGTGATCCGCCACATATTTTTTGATTATGAAATACGTGGATCTTGATAACCCCTCAGCACGAACACTCCACTTACACTGGTTGTCAATGCATCGGATGTACCAAAGATTTCTATCTGATTTCACAACTTTGTAATCGAAGTTATTCTTCATTGATGAGATTTCCAATGCTGCTTTCAACTTTGATTTCTTTTCAAACATTTCACCCCTCTTCACAACATCCATCAAAGAACACCGAACATTTTTTCCACTATCATCTTCTTTTCCTGCTAACTCGAGACCAACATCTTCTTCCCAGTTGTTCGAGTTTCCATTGTCTTCATCATCTTTATTTGACTCAGATGAACTACCCATATCATCTCGAGGTGAAAACGAGGAAGGTTCACCTTGCTCACTGAAACGAGTTTTAGAATCCTCTTTATCAACCTCAATGTTGGAGCTGTTTCCATTGATAGGTGAAGTAGACACACATAACGTTGGCGAAGCTTTTCCACGCATATATGTAAGAAATTTTTTGATTTGCCAATCATTCCTAATGATAATTGGGGGACAGTCATGAAGAAGAACATGAAGACCACATTTAAAAAAAAACTAACTTAGGAAACACTATATTTTAGGAAAATAGATTTAGGATATATTCTGTTAACAGATTTTAGAGATATTTAAGGAAACTATATATTTCAAAATTGGTAGAACATACCCTAGGTTGTCCATAGAATTTAGAAAAAAAATGGTAGTTTAAGTTTTTTTTTTGGGTAAACACACTGCGGTAGGCAAAAGTGTTTTGGTAGGTTAGTAATCAAATATTGTCAGAATATTCAATCATGGTAGATTGATTGTCTTGTCTTTTTCTACCGTAGTTCAAAAATATACAAAATCATAGCCGTATTTATTCTACCATAGTAGAATTTTATGTAGTGAACCCAATATTCAATCTACAAACCCGTAGACGACGTTTTTCTACCATCGGTAGATCAAAATATGAAATTATGTTCCACTAATATTTATTCAACCAAATTATTTTTCCTATGATGGTCTATTGTCTCTAAACATTTTGTGAATATTTTCATATTTTTCTGATTGTTAAAATAATTGATATGAATTTTTAAAGGTGGCTAAGAGAATCTAAATCCAAATTTGACCAAAAAGTGATTTATGGCAAATGGACAATATACTTATTTTTCTATTCCGTTTTGACAATTTTTTTTCTAAAAACATTATATATCACGAAGATGGTCAAAACCAACCACCAGAGAAGCAGAGCTAGGTCATCGGTTCGTCTTCAAGATGAAAAGAGGTACAAGAGAGAGAAAGAGGGGGATGCCCTTATCGTGTTATTATTAACTACTAAAAATGCTGATGATAGTTATGAAAAAAATGAAAAATGTTTTTTTTATCCTTATAAATTTATTCATGTACATGAAAATTATGAAAGTAATAAATAATTTAATATTTTTTTGCAAACCAATATATATATATATATATATATAGTCAGTTAAATATTGAAATGATGTGGTATATATATAAATTAATATGATGATATCTATTACCAAATTTATATCTATTTCAAAAAAAAACTTTGGCTTTGAAATATTAAAATATTTTAAATATATTTCTACAACTAAATATATTAAAATTTTGACCTGTTAGAATTTATACCGAAAGATTGTTTATAATTTCAGAAGTTACAATTGCTTGGGATTTAAAATAAACCTTAATATATAAAATTATAGACTATTCTATATTTTATTAACATAAAAATATAAAAAGGTGAAATTTATTAAAGTTTTTTAAAATTACGGTAAGATGTCACATCAAATTTTGGTACACCATTTAATGAATTAGCGTCATAAAAAAGAATCTGTTCAACTTTATTGATATATACATATATATACATTTTAAATAAATATTAATTTAATTCCAAACAATTTAGTTTTCATCAAAAAATGTTGATTATAGATCATCTATTTAGTTGGTTAAAATTGCTGTTTAGTTTTTCGGTTGTATTGACTAAAATATAACTATGTTAAAATAAGGGAAAATTAAAGGGTATTTTTTGACCCCAATATTTTCTATCGCACAGTTTTATATCCAAACAAATTATAAGTGCAAAATCATATCTAAATTAAAAATTTATTTAAATTTTTGACCCAAACTTCAATCCGTTGTATGAAATCCTACCTTGACTAACACCGCGTTAGTCAACCATTATGTTTGGTAAAATAACGTCGTTTTGTAGTGGAGAAAATTCAAAAAAAAAAAATTACATCTCGTTTTGTAATGGAGAAAATTCTAAAAAAATTGCATCTCCTAGAAATCGAACCGTGGTCCAACAGATATAGAACAAACTTACTTACCATTGTACTACAACATTTCTATTCTTACACTAATAGATTTAAAAGATTTATATTTTCGTTTTGTAGCTTTGTATATTCCAAGGGAAAATTATTTTTGTTTACAATTTTATTTAGTATAAGTTTTAATTTCATCAATAATTTAGATATTTCATAAATTATTCAATCAAATTTAAAGATGAAATTTCTCAAATAGTTATCTAAATTTAAATAATTAAATTTTAAAAACCTACATACAATAGTGATTATATATTTTTCTTAAAAATCAATTTTTAAGTTTTTACTTAGTACATTGTTTATTTTAAAATATAAAATTTGTTATAATAATTTGTTTATTTTAAAATTTAACTTTTGATTCTTAAGAAAAAATACAATCATTATTATATGTAGGTAGAAAAAGACCTAAAGAGATTTTATGACAAATTTTTTTAAAGAATTCTATCCGAGAGAATTACCTTTTGAGAAATATTATTTTTAAATTAGATTAAATAATTTATGAAATATCATTTTTAGTTTTATTACATCTGAAGAGTGTAAGAAGTTAAAATGTATAAATTCTTGATGCAATTATAACTTGTACTAAATAAAATTTATAACCAAGAGTATTTATTCCCGTAAATATACAAATCCAAAATATAAATCTATTAAATATATTAATGTAACAATAGAAATGTCGTAGTACAGTAGTAAGTAAGTTTGATTTATATCTGATGGAGCACTGTTCGATTCCCAGGAGATGTAAATTTTTTAGAATTTTCTCCTTACAAAATGACGTCGTTTTACCAAACATAACGGTTGACTAACACGGTGTTAGCCAAGGTAGGTTTTCATACAACAGATTGAAGTTTGGGTCGAAAAATTAAATAAATTTTTAATTTAGGAATGATTTTGTACTTATTATTTGTTTGGGTATAAAAAGGCGCGATAGAAAATGTAAGAATCGAAAAATATCATTTTCCCTTAAAATAATGATTCGATTCTGCATTTGTTTATTAAGATTTGAACGCCTTGACTGTTTGAAAAATTCATTTTTTTCTCAACTACATTACAAATTTTCCCTTAGTAAATTTTTTTTTTCAGTTCTTTGAAAAAATATTATTCCAAAATACGCAACCAAATAAAAACATAAGACTGTCTTTGTTTGCGTTATATATAATATATATATAAATTAACAAATGAACTTTGTTTAAAAACCATACTTCAAAAAAAAAAAATATGCAAACACAAACGCAAACCATGCTTTAAGATTCCACATACTTAAATGCTGTTTCAATCAGCGCTTGATGATACCTCATTAGAATCAGGAGGCCCTTCTTCCTCGCTATCATCATCACTATCTTCTCCACTCACGCCTTCACTAACCATCGGTCCTAGAAGGAAGCCTATAGACTCGATATTGAGTAGAACCTGAGGAACCTGAGCGAGCTCAAGCCTGTGGTCTGGGGTGTGTTGTTGGTTGAATCTCCCTGGAACTTTTGAAGGAGTCTCGTAACAGTCTTTGCAAAGGTCATAACCAATTTCTTCCTTGCAGTCTTTGCATCTGTATCGTTCCCCTATGATTGGATACACCTGCAAAACCACATCACCATTCAGATCCTTACACATGTTTTGTTTCACTACTAATAGCATAATCTGTTTAAAATCATGTACTTACTCCGCAACAATCACAGCCCGCTCCGATGTGAACATTAGAAGCAGGGTTTGCCCACCAGGGAAGATCATTGTTGTTGGGGCCTGACAAAGATGGGCCTTCTTTGCGAGAGCTTTGAATGTCTACATGTCAGAATAAAATGATTACAAAAACTATGAGTCTCTGTGTACAATGTAACAATAAGAGCAAAGCTTTTGAGAGCACAAGAACTTACTTCCTTTGCTAGTATGGGCACCACGCGTTTTCTGAATCCCACTTTTCCTTGAATTGTATTCTTCAGGAAAGTTCTCCTCCAAAAGCTGCTCAAGAACCAAACAAACTTTCGGAAATCCTCTCGGGTCAGAGATATGACACTCCTGACATTTGATCTTTTCACTTTCTTGAGACATATCTACTACACATCCTTCACAGTACACTGTAAGAAGGACGAGACAGGTTATCTCAAGCAGCTGAAGCTGAAATACTTATCAAAAACCAAGAGTATAAGATGATACCATGTCCACAATTGAGTACTACGGGCAGCACGAGCAGCTCCTTACATGCTGTACAGAGCAAATCATCTTTTGAAATTTGCTTACTGACTTTATTATTCTTAGGTATGTCATTCTCATGGACATTAAGAGCGTTTGCATCTTTAGGTTCTTCACTGGATAGTAACCTTTCTGCATTAGAACACTCTTCCACCTTCGGCTCATCTAAATACATATAATTTCACACATAAAGCAGTTTATTACAATTCAAAAGCTTGCAAAAAAAAAAAAGATAAAAAGAAGATCTCATGTGTGGTAACAAGACTCACCAGAGACATTTAGAGAACCTCCACTACATACAGACTCCTCCTTGGCCTTTGGTTCATCAATCTGAGGTGAAAAACATTCTAGTTCTTGTTCCTCCTCTGAAACATGACATTCAAAAACCATAAACACCATAAGTTCTTTTTTTGTTTCGAAACCCGTAATCCTTCCCCCCCGAAACCATATCTCGTAATATTAGTTTTGTCACAGCAGTCACTCGAACTGGGAACTCTGAGACAATGGTCAGGGTCCTTTCTATGGTTCACCACCACCACCAAAATTTCAGCTTACGCTTTGCATAGGAAAGGATAAGAAGCAAAGAAGAAGAACTCACTTAGAACTTGTTCCTCTCTCTTGTGATGGGCAAGAGGGTAAATCTTCTTGAGCAAGAAATGAAGCTTTTGGCAGACAGCAGGAAAGTGAACATAAGGGTCTCTACAAATGGGGCAATGAGACTCACGCAGCTCATTCATGGACTTATGCACGCACCAGAAACACGACAGGTGACCACATGCTGCCATTTACAAATCCAAAAAGAAACATCAGAAAACTAAAACACACCAAAGAGAATAAAAATGGATTAAGTCAACTTCTTACATAGCACAATCGGTTTGTAAAGAAGCTCCCTGCTCAAGACAAAAAGTCAATTCCGAATGGTTAGTTTCGTCTTTTAAGACAATGATATCAATTACAGAAAGAGATTATGAATCTAGAATCAAGATGCTATAATTCCCGACACAAAATACCAAAAACCCTAATTAAATAAATTAACCCTTATGATTAAGGCAATGTTAAGAGGTGACGCTTACAGGCAAACGCAGCAGAGAAACTTGTCGGAGATTTCTTCATGTAGCTCAGCGTCCTTCATTGTAACATCCTCCATAGGTAGCGATTGAGATTGAGGGAAGGGAGAGATCAAAATTTCTGCAAAATTATCAGACAAAAACGAAAAGAGAGAGAGATCTGAGTTTTCAACGGTGGGATGTTTTTGCTTAGTGGCTAAGGATCATATTTAGCAATGTTATCGTCTATAGAAAAACCTTTTTCTAATCTTAATTTTAAAAATGTCTAATAAAAGTTTTTGTAAGTAGAGAAGACAGAAAAATGAATTGGTGTCATTCCATTAATAAGTATTTTATATAGAAATATACAATGATTTAGATATAAAATCTAGGTTTCACAAAAAAAAAGATATAAAATCTAAATTTGTTTAAAAAAGTTGATAGAAAAATAAATAAAACCTAATTTTGAGTGGAAAACAAGTAAATTAAATATATTTTTAATGAATAATACATAATATTTATAACATTTTCATGTTCATTATAAAAAAAATGTTTCAGAACACTGTGGATGCTGACTCGTTAAAATCTTACCAGAAAAACCTATGAAAAAATCACACTTAAAAGAAAAATGAGTATAGCGCGTAATAACTTACCTTCATGTGTATAAATGTTAAGATCTTTGAGATGATGTTAATAGGTGAACTAATTTCTTGAAAGTGGCACTGAGTACACCTTAATGAATAAGCCAGTCAAAACAATCACTTGAACAAACATGTAGGATGTAGATATCGCCATTCTTCGATAGTGCTTACATCTTGTATGATTTAATCATCTTCTTGGAATCTTTCTATCTCAAAACTTTAGAACTTTAATAGACTTTCATCTTTGAGATTGTAACATTTTTCTTGGGTGTCTATCATTTGTGTGTGCTTTGTTGCCTCATTAAAACCTTGTGATAGAAAAATTCAGTGGGATAAAAACTATGATAAAGAAAATGAGTACAACCACACATATTTGACAGTTCTTTCTCTGAAACCAATATCTTCATGATATCCATTCTGAATAAATGTATTATTTTAATAAATTGAGTTGTAATAAAATAAACTCTTTGCTTTCTATTGTAATATTTAGAGTTTTTAGACTTATGTTCTATAATTCTCTTATGACATAGACAACAAATTTTTGGTAGATTTGGACTTTAAACCGAATATCTTTACATACACTCGTCTTTCCATGTAGAAGTTATTCAATTTTTATTATAAAGTTACTTTTATGACTTTCTTTATTGTCATATGTTATCACATATTTTAGTCACATAAAATATTAGTAACTTTGTTCAAATAACATTTTAAATATGGTACTTCAAGACCAAACATATATGAGCATCTTAATATAAAGATCTTTAAGATAACATCTCATTTTTAAATATTCAGTTCGGAATACATATTTCTTCCAAAATACAATATTTTATAACTCTTTAGGAAAATTTGATTATATTCAAATCAATGATCCTATTGATCAATATTCTCTGGATAAATACAAATTGTGTATTGACTTCTAATATTTCATATATCCATAAACATATTTTGATCAAATAGCTAGAGTTCCCGGGAACATGATTTTGATATCATCAATCCTTCATAGATTTTATCTTTCAGAGATTATCATTTTAAGTGGCTCATAATTTTCAAGTTTTTCCTTTATTTCTAGACTAACAAAAAACTTGAAAATAGTTACATTTACCACATGAGACTGTTTTTTTTATAATCAATTTCACATTGATTTTTCTTTAGTGCAACAACTTTATTCTTTCCCACTTTTTTTAAATCTTTGTGCATGAACTAGTACTTCAAATACTTATCTCTTTTTAAAGTGTTTATATCTTTCCTATTATCTATTTCTCATTACGCCAATCATTTCTATGTGTACACTTTAGATTTTCTTTTATGATCCTCTTTCTCATACATCAGAACAACTGCTACTTTGCATGCATAAATATCATTGACGTCGATTTACTTATCGGTTCCATTTTATTCTATACATGACATAACATATTGAGATATTTTCATTGTCTCAGGTACCTAAATTTTTTCCAGTCATGTTTAACATCTCTTCTGGAGATTATTCATAAATTATATTTCTTCTTGACCATTATTAATTTATGCTCCTTTTCATTTAGGAGGAATCTTATCTTTGAAACCAATATGTATATCACACTCCAAGTGTGACTCATACTTACTAGCAGTTTGATATTAGTTCTTATTGGAGTATTTACAGCTTGTATATGTGACTTGATCACTATATTTATATGGGTCAGTAAATATGTCTGGTAACTGCTTTACTAAGCTCTATCACTAAATTATCTTTTGGACTTTTATTTCACATTGTGTTTAGTCCGAGGACCAATGATTACTCATTTCAACTTTTCTTTTTCAGCTATTTATTTTCTCCCCCTTATGTTGGAAATACTAATTCATGTTTAGCATTCATATCGAGCCTTATTTATATTTTCAGAGATGGCTCTAGATTTTTAAGTATCAATGTATATTCGTATCCAACATATATTTCAACCTCATTTGAAAATTCATCTTAATTAAAGCTATGTAGTGAGCAATTAGAATGTATATCGCACATCTAACATTTTTAGATAAAAACTAGTTGGTTTCTGACCCAATACCAATGATGGGAGATATAGTGATCATTTGATGGCTTGATGCGAACTAGTGTTGCTCAAAATGTTGACACTTATACTAGTAACTTTGCTATAATCGTTAAAGACTTTAAGAAATGAATTCACCAATATTATCAAGATGCATGGTGGGTGATCAGTCCACCAACATCTCCTTCATTCATGCCGATAATTTTATTTAGCTAGTGAAATAGTATTACATTTTGTATCTTGTGAGCAAGCATCATATGTCAAATCATTTGAATGAGGCTTCTTGTTCTTTAATGACTATTGACATAAATCTCTAAATATCTTTTAACATTATTATTGAACCAAAATGGTCTAACTGGTTCATGTCAAATATTTTGCAAACTTCTGATTTACTATATTTATCTTCATTACACTAATCTTTTTGTAGTACAATATATATGAGGAAGTAAATACTTTCTCTAAAATGCTTTTTGTAGTAAAATGCTTTTTGTAGTACAATATATATTCAAGCACATGCATGGAAGGTCAGGGCTCCCCCGAAGATTTGTCATCTTATGTGGCAGATAATAACAGGACAATTAGTAGTCACGAGTATTTTGAACTACAGACATATGAGATGTGATAACCATTGCCCTCGTTGTGGGGAACCTGAGGAAACGATCACACACGCAATATTTGAGTGCCCACCTGCTTTACAAGTGTGGGCGCTATCATCTACGCCTACTAATCCCGCTTTGTTCCCAGTACATAGCACATATGCGAATATGGACTATTTATTTTGGAGGAAGAATGCACTAGTGGAACCGGAATTAGATAGGGATCCTTATCCTTGGATAATTTGGTACATTTGGAAGGCGCGGAATGATAAGCTGTTTAGAGGCACTGATAGGGATCCTTTGGAAATAACGCGTTATGCAGAAAGTGAATGCCAAGCATGGTTCCAAGCAAATGAACAGGATATATCGTTCTCCCTTGGGAACGAAACAGCCGCAAACCAGGTCTTAAGCTTGGGAAACATATGCATGGTGGATGGATCTTGGACTTCTACGGAAACTTTCAGTGGATGTGGATGGGTGCTGAAGGATACATCTGGAGATACTCAGCTTTTGGGTCTGCGTAATTTTGATCGAGTGGAATCGGCTTTGCATTCCGAGTTGGAAGCGCTGCGGTGGGCAATAGAGAACATGCTTCAACATTTGCCATGTTAGAGCTTCGGGACTGATTGCAAGGAGTTGATCGAGATGCTCAGGAATCCTCATGCATGGCCTACCTTCTCAACGGAACTGGAGAAATTGGAGACTCTGAAGTTTTGCTTTCCTAATTTTAAGATTTCTTATGTTCCTAGGGTTCAAAATGGTGCTTCTGATTCCCTAGCTAAGGTAGCTAGGTCCTTTTATCGTAAGCTTGTGTACGTTGGTTGTTCTATTCCGGTCTGGTTACCCAGACCAACTCAAGTTGTTTGAGTAATAGATCAGCCGTTTGATGTCAAAAAAAACAAATGCTTTTTTTTTGCCTTGAGAAATATTTCTGATTTGAAATGTATATAGCATTTTTTTTTTGCTTATTGTCTCAACATAAATTATCTCAAAATCTCTATGTATTCCTTTAAGAAGGATTCATAAATCTCAGTTTAGTGTAAACATAATCTTCTAAATGTTTCACTTAATATAAAATGTGAGATTCTTTAGCTCTTCCCTTTGAGATGATAATATTACAAATTTTGTCAATCTCGACTAAATCTCTTCACTTAATATAAATATCAACACATACCCTATTTGGGTCATGAATTTCTTTGTCAAATCCTTCTTACTTTTGAGACTTATGAGAATTTAATACATTAAGGATTTTTATTCATATTATATGTGCAGTAATGTCAATATACTTTTCTGGAGTTCTCATATATATCATCTCTTTGAACCTTTTATAAACTTACTACTTCGTATTGTATTCATAATAATTTTCTTTCATCTTTAGATGATTGAATCATATCTCCTATTTATTACTATCTTTATTTTCTCAATTTCAAGTGAATATAAATTCTAAAAAAAAAACTCTTTGGTCTTGACTCTTGACCTATATATATTATATATATATATATATAATATATATATATATATATATATATCCAAATTCATGTCTATGAAAACTTTTGTTTTTCAATTTCTTTATCAATATTATTCTCTGGATTTTCTTTCTTAACATGTAAAATTCTCTTCAGAAGAATGAATCATAACCTACTAGACGTGAATAACTCATGTTTTTTTAATCTCAAGAGACATGATACAAGTATAAACTTCTGTAATTTCTTTTCTGAACCATGTGTCTGCTAGACAACATTACTTGTGTGAAAAAGTATTCTTTAATATATTTGCATCAGTGATATTTTCTCAATAGAGTACTCATTAACAGACTTCAGGTCTGATAAAATTTAGATGCAAAAATCCATAATAAACTTTAGAGAATCACATTCTGGTGATTAAATTTTCTTTGGATTTTTTTTTTTTCAAAATTTATAGACCTTTTAAGGTTAAACCTTTAACTTAAGACTCTCATATATATATA